CTGTTTGAGACCAGATATCGTTTATGTTTTCTCCCTTGCTGGGCCTCAGATATGGCCACAACTGGCTGGGCCCAGGTCCATGGAGCTGTGGGTATCCTTATATTTGGATGGTCCCACTCACCAGCAGACAGAGGAGATGCTTGCAGAAGTTTACTGCCCCATGGGAACTCACCATATGTGAACTCCCTGGATATCTAGAGTGTTGTGTACACAGATGGGATATTTCAGGGCAGAGGTACACTTTCACAGTGCAAGACTCTCTGTACTACTTACTGTCGCTATTCCCCACTCATGATCCTATTCTATCTGTTCAGCGAGAGCAGTTGGCCTCATCTTCACCACCATATATCCTACACTTACCCATTTCTGTGGGTTTTTAAAGCTGATCGTGGTGCCTTAATAGTCCTTTGCCCAAGTTCTTACAAGATCCTAAGTCAGATCAAATTTCTGTTTCTTTCCTGCAGCATAGAAGTCTCTCCCCATACCTCATACCAGGGTTAATTCTGACGTTGGTTCTTAGTGCTTTCTGTCTCTGTGTGGTTGCCAGGATCATGGTCTGGATGGGCCATGTGGTCTGTGATGGTGCCCATCTCTCTCACTGGTTCATGAGCTCAGAATACACAGATGTGACTTTATTTGCTTTTATGTCATTCCTGTGGGTGCTCACTGAATATCTCTTAAGTGGAGCTGAATGAAAAGTTATCACTTATGGGAGAATTATAAAAGATGTTTGAGTTTGCATTTCAAAGGCATATTTAATGTTTAAAAAGGTGGAGCTTGAGCCATGGTGCATTGGTCAGCTTTTCATTGCTGTGATCTCAATGACAGACATACATAACTTGAAGCAGGAAATGGCTTATTTTTCTCATGGCTTTAGATGTTTTGGTTCGGGGCTGGCTGGCTCCAAAGCAGGAGCATCATGGCGACTGGGAAGCACAGCAGGGGACCAGCACCTGAGAGGAAGGGCCAGGGACTAGATACAGAACCCCATGGTCACGCCTCCAGAACCACCCAGGCACACCTAGGAGTGCACCTCAGCAATCCCCCGGGTGGCTCCCAAGCCAATCAAGTTGCTAATTAAGCCTGGTCATCACATCTAGAATATGTTCAACTCTCCTTGAGAGTTCATGACCTGCGTCCACCGAGGCATAGAAAACCCAGGTGGGAAGTCCCCTTAATTCTAAGCCTTGCCCATGAGTCACTGTCCTGTGTGAGCCCGGGGGACATGTCTGTACATCCTCATTAGATGACTGGTTAATAAACTCTAGAAGCACTATCTTGTCAAGTAATTAATGAGCTCACTAATTGAGGACAAAGAGGCCAGTTTGGGGCTGTTTGGCTTTGGTTCATAATTCTGGGTCAGGAGGACCCTTCACAGCATGGAGGACAGGATCATGTCATCCATCAAGGCCTGGCACTCGTGATTCATGGTCCCCAGAAGGTCAGGTGGGGAGTTCAGGAATTGAATTCAAACACACAAATATGGCAGCTCAGAATGGGTCATGGGATGGCTGAGCAGAGGGATGGCCGGGGTGCCCTGTCTGTCAAGGATGGTGTTTCCTTTCTCTAGAGTTCGGGGGTGAGGTGCCAGGTGGAGCACCCATCCAGGGTGATCGGAGGCTGTTTTACAATCACTTGTGCTTGGTGCCTGCTTGGGGCATGGCACACAAGGCACTGAAGACAGGGTGGCCGGAAGAGTCCAAGGCACCTGGCTTCCACTGTAACTGGGTCAGGCTTTGACACTTTACTCGCCTGCTGCTCCTGATCATTTTTCTCTTCTGCTTTTTATTTTTCCCCCAGACCTTTTGGTACCCAATGATTTTTGATTAATTTATTTACCATCGTTGGGTGATTGATGCTGTTTGGGGCTGGTACTTTGTAACTTTCCAATTCTTCTAGTTGTCACCGTGACAGCTCTTTGATGATGAATTGGACCCTATCCTTGCTCTTTTCATTCTCCCTGTGTGCCAAGGCTCTAGGTTTTTGGCAAATATAAATATTTCTAAATGCAGATTTAATGATTGAGTGCACCCAATGAAATCCAGAAAGATCTATGATGCTTTCATTCTCTTTTACTTTTACACTGAAATTTAATGCATTGCATTTTTCTTTACTTGTCTTATTTTAGATTTTGGAAATCCTCTCTCCTTTTCGGAGTCTCCTCAGATATTTTCCTGCTCTCCCTGCACGTTGCTCTGTGTGTGGTCTGCCTTTCTAACTTCCTCAACTTCTGTCCAACTCACTGGTCCAGGCGGAATCATTGTCCTCGATGAAATGCATAAGTTTGGGATGGTGGTGAGAGAGGACATTTATAATTAAGTTCTTATTATTTGTCTCACAATATGAGAGGCACTTTTCTATTAGGTTCATAAAATATTTACTGAGGATTTATTATGTGCCAGAAAAGCTCCATATAAGGCAGTCACTTTTATTTTCTAGACAAAGAAGCCAAGGCTCTGGGAGTGAATCGATATGGTTTTCAGTTATACAGAAGGAAGTGACAGAGCAGTGATTCGAGTCCAATCTCATCCGTTTTTCCTTTTCTCTCGAGACAGGGTCTCCCTACATTGTTTAGGCAGGTCTCAGACTCATGGGCTCAAGGCACCTTCTTGCTTCAGCCTCCCTAGTATCCAAGATTGCAGGTATGTGCCGATGCTCCTGGTTCTAACTTTGCCTTTTGTATTATTTTCCAGGACACTCTTCTGAGGGAACCAAGGGCAGATGAAAGAGCTCCTAGGGCCTCAGGATTGGGCAAGAAACCGTATTAGTTTATTTCCTATTATTATAGCAATGCACCTGAGGCAAATTAACTTATAAAGAAAAGAGATTTATTTTGGTTCATGGCTCTGGTGAATTTGAAGGCCTGCACCTGGTGATGGTCATCTTGCTAGCAAAGTCTGACGACAGCCAGGGCATCACATAGCATGAGACAGAGTGTGTGTCTTCTGGTTTCCTTCCCCATTTTATAAACTCACCAGTGTTCAATCATGGACGCTTCATCTGGATGGCTTAATCTAGTCCCAGTCACCTTCCAAAGGTCCTACCTCAAAACACCTTGCTGGAATAAGCTTACCCCCTCTTTGTGTCTCACACTGGGGATTCAGTTTCAGTACGTGAGCCTTCAGGGGACACACTCAAATCCTAGCTAAGCCCCAGCAGACCATATACTTTCCCTACATGGGTGGTTCTCAAACCCAGGCAATTAAATGCCTCGTTGACTAGCTACAGAAAAGTCACTTGGAATGCTTATCAAAATACAGAGTCCCAAGCCTCTCCGCAGTTGTTAACTTTGCTTGATCCAGAGCTTTGTATTTTTAAAAACACATTCCGATTCTCAGCCAAGTGAGTGGGCCGGTACAGGACATTTCCTGACACCTTCCTTGGAAAACGACTCTGCAGCCTCTGGGGTAGGGGCACTGCTCGCAATGTCCGTGCCATCAGTGGGTGGCCCTATATAACCCTGCAGTTTCTCCTCAGGTTGGATCTATCACAGGCCCCCTTAGCTGCAATCTATGATGCTTGTGGTACAAACCGAGGTTCAGTGCACGCTGGAGACAGGGTATGTGCTTTAGATCTGCTGAGGTGCCTGGGTACTGTAGCAATTCCCAGAGGGTGGTATTTTCATTCCCACCTCGTAGATGAGATGATTTCCTTCGAGAGATACACATAATGTGTCTTTCCTGTTTATTTTATGTCAACTTTTCAGATAACATCCTCCTTGATCCCTGTATATTTTCATGTTTTAAACAGTTGCCAGTTACTTTTTCCAAGGCCAGTTCTACCTTTGCAAAGATGAAGGCCCTCTTCTTAAATCTCTCCAACCTCCTGAGGAAGACTCATGTGGCCCTGCACTCTGATTGTTTTCCCTGTGTGAGCCTATCCCTCTTCATGTGACTAGTAGTCCTCTGGGCAGAGCTTCTACATGTTTGCCTTTCTTTCCCTGTGATGGGAAGGAATGAATTCACAATGAATGGTAAAAACACAAATGTCAGGGATCAGTGCGTGACACATCATCGAGTACTTTTGTGTTGCTCTTCGGGTCTCCTAGGCGAGCTAATGTTTGGAAGGTCAGGGGGGTCTGAGTTTCTTCCTGGATTCCTGAAGACTAGGCCTTTGAGATGGCTCATGAATCTCTTTGGACTTCTTGCCTCTGGGATGTTGGGCAGGTCTCACTGGGATAGAATAGCCATCCTATAACATAGTAGACAAAAAGGAAGGATTTATAAGTAAAAATGTTGGTATAATTTCTACATTACCTTTTCCAAGATCTTGAATCTACCCTTATTTTACACCTCGATTTTTCTCATCTGCCAAATGGGAATAGCAATAGCATTCCTTATTAATTCTTAATGCTATGTAGAAAGTATTAGCTATTATTAATGTACTGCTGACTTCTTAGTGACACTGGCTGTATGAATATAGATCTTTCGTGTTTTAAACAAGTGATGCTAAAGAAAACCAAAGGATATTAAATTATGAATTTAGAGAAGAGATAAATTATGGGGGTAGTTATTACTTAAATTGCAGAAATATTTCTCATGTTCAGCCCAGGGTTCCTTTACAAAGCAATCTGTCTTGTGCCTTTAAAAAAGCAATTCTATTTAGAAAAATTTGATTTGCATGCAACTTTTTAGAAACATTTATCATGTAAAGTGAGACATCATTGGACTATATTAGAGAATTTACCAATATGTTTTGGCTTAGGAGGAATATCATTTCCTCCAAGAATGTGAATATTGGCAAATTGAATCTCACTTCTCTTCTCAAATGAGAATAGCCCCGTCCAGTTTTGAAGCATCTGGCCTGAGAATTAGTCATGGCGGAAATATCTGTATTTGAGCTCTGGATCACGACCTCAGGGAGGACAAGTTCACTTGGATGAAAATGCCGGTTGGAGGTGATGGCCCCTTCATCGCTGGAAGGAGGCAAGTCTGAAACCACAAAGGACCTCGGCTGACACCCTGTTACTGCGCCACGGATCAAGGTATCAATGATGAACAAAATCATGATTTCCATTTCTTTCCACCAGTTCTGACACTTCCGAAGCAATGCTCTCACTCTATGGCAAAGAAAGCAAAAGCAGCCCAGAAAACCCCTTTCCTTCCTCTCCACTGACCTGACCGCCCTTTCTGTTTTTTACATCTGTCCATCTGGTGAGGAAAAGATTGATTCTAGGAACGCGTTGGGATCGCTCTGCCAGAAAGGAAAAAGCCGTGTAGACTGTGACGCCAAGTTAACCCTGGGAGGCTGAGGCTGCTAGTCTGCCATTGCGCAGGGCAGCTGCAAGCAGTGAAGAAATTTCGAGGCGAGGTGGCCGCTCGCTGCTGTCTGCTCAGGCGGCGCCGAGGCCCGTTCCTGCCAGCGTCGCGCTCCGGCCTCCGCCAGCCTCCCGTGTGCTGCTTGCTGCCCCAGCCGTGAGTCATCAGAGATGCTGAGGCTCCTCTAGCTTCGCGTTCCTGGCAGAGGTGTGGTTCCCTCCTAAAAGCGGAGGGGAGAGTTGCTAAGGAACACCCTTCACGTGCTGAGGGCACAACAGTCTTGCAGAGTTCGGGCTGCAGCCGTTCGACTCTCATCAGAAAATCATCTTTGGAAAGATTTGCCAGTGTACGAAAGCTCCCGAACTAAATTAGGACCGGGATCGTTCTCCCCTCCTCTTCCGATCTGCAGTGCCTGGCAGATCGGAGCCATCACGATTCTGTGCGTGGTGAGTTTGTTTGTGCTGCAGATCCCATCCCCCGGCTCCGAGGACTGCGGCTTTGTTTGGAGCAGCACCCTGGGAGGCTGGGTGCTTGCTTCTCCTTCCCTCAGATTTGTTGGCTGTCTTGGCAAAGTGGCCCGGGCTCGGGGACTCTTTAATCTGATTTTCTTTTGCTTTTCCCTTTCTCCCTCCCAGTAATGAATTCCTGCCTGTCTCTAGGAAATTAAGGTAATCCATTATACTGTTGTCTCCCTATCTCTGCAGCAGGGATAATAGCATTTAACCCACCTTTGCAGTATACTGAGTGGCCTGTCAGGGTCTCTTCTTTCAGAGGACAACTTCAAAACATTTTAATAAATGCTCCTTAACTGGATGCTTTAAAAATACATGGGGTCAGATGTCAAACTCTTCAGCTATAACTAATTTAGCAAACAAGACTCACTATTTATCCTCTCCCTGCTGCTTCTGTTTTTACCCTCCTCCCTTTACATCATTCTGCTTTTCAGGGACGTGTTAGCTCCACTGGGTCAGAGTCTGTGGGAGACCTAGGACCAGGGTCTTTGTGGACCGGTCCGTACTGCCTCTGTTAACCCAGTTGTCTCTTACACTGGCAGGGGGGCAGCTTCCTGTCCTGCGGTGGTGCCGGCAGACAGCGCTGGGGACAGAAAGGTGGGTGCTCAGCTAGGCGGTGTCACTCCAGTGACCATGTGGGGCTGGACTCAGGTCGTCCCTGGGAGGCCTGTGCTTTCATTTCCAGCGCAAGCAGGGACCGACTCACCTAGGGAACTCTGCCTGTGTGTGCCAGGCCAATTCACTCGTGGCTCCTAATCTCAGGAACCAGGCACAGGCCTGTGTTGTTTGGGTAAAGTATGTGTTCTGACTTTATCTTCTTGCTTCCTCTTCTATGAAGGTAAAGGGGCCAGAGATCTGGGTAGATGCTCCCCGGAATGCAGCGTGAGCCTCTTCTAGGGATCAGGTGACAAAGTCAAGGTTATGTCCTTGCATCTGTGCACAGAGGCTTTAGAGGTCCCTCTTCTCAGCACCCAGAGAGCCCAGTCTTCACCCACTCGTTCCGGCCTTCATTTCTTTGGGCTTCGGATGTGTGCAGAAACACCATGGTGTCAGCTGAGAGCAGTATCCTCCCGGGCCGTGGGCTTTGTGCTCCTGGTGCCCACTCCTCTCATCAGAGGGGACTGTGTCGGTAAACAGTCCTCCGGTCACCCAGACAGGAAAAGTTCCCGAACCACAAGATCTTATACAGAAGAGGAGCCTGTGACCTCACTGCAATTCTAGGAGGTGAGAATGTTCTCATTTCCCCACCACACGAGAGGGGTGGAGAAAAGTATGAGATGCCTAAATCACTCTGATTCTGTCTCAGAACAGTCACGCGTGCAGGTCAAGACCGATGCTCCCAGGAAATATGACGCTTGATGTCTTCCTCTTCTAACTCTGGGACGCGTCCCCCAGGATTCCCCAGAGGATGTGCAAACACCTGAGCTCTGATCAAGCCAGCCGGTTTTTGTATGAGGGCTTCTGTCCTCCCCACGGTCGGGTGAGAGATGTGGGCTTCAGTGAACTGTGTGCTTAAACCACAGAGCCTTTCCTTGTGCAAATAATACTGGATGTGGAATCCCAAAATATAGAGCATATGCCAGTGGGGTCATCTCACCGCATTGGGAGTGGGGGTGTGGGTCGAGAATTTGCCGCTGGATTTGCCATCTCATCTGCCAAGCCCCTATGGGGACCCGCTTTTGAGCAGTTCCCCAGGCCCTTTTATGGAATCCTGGGGCTAAAACCAGTGCGTTTTATAGGTGGAGTTCCTGAGGCTTGAAGAAATGATTTAGCCTTGCTGTGCACCATGCATATAGAAAATGGCCAATAAATAAATCAATGAAATGCATCCATCTTTTAAACTGGGAGTGGGAGAGTTAGACTAAAAGAGTCAGAAATGGACTACGGATGTAGATTTTTGCCTTCAGGATAGAGAGGCCCTTTGCTTCTGCTTGATGTTTCCTGGTCCAGGAGCCCTTGTGCTTTCTTCTGGGCTCACTGCTCTTCACACAGTGTAGCTGGATCTGGGATGAGCCCACAGGAAGGGACTTTCCTTTGGTGCTAATGCAGGAAGGAACATGGCATCGATCTATCTGCAATTATAAGCTCAATATGTTTCGCTTGAATTTTTAGAAAAACCAGAGGTACTTTGCAAGTGCAATAGAGCTTCCAATTAGGCATTTAAGTTCCCCATTTCTATTTCCCTAATGACATGACTTGCTCTCTTGCTTTATGAAATGAAAATAGCTTTATTTGGGCATGAGAATGCTGCTGATTGCATGCTTAATATGCTTTTGCCACACTTTACTGCCTATTTCCTAGCATATGCAACGGACAGAGGAATACATTTCCATGCTTCCTTTGTCTACATATTCATGGTCACTTCTCGAGGCCCAGACCTGTAATGACTGAAGCTGGTGCGGGCTCGGTAGAAGTGGCCTGGGGTGTTAACCCTCAGAAGGAAAGCTGTCCCCCAAGAGGGGACCCTGGCCACAAGTCCTGTGGAGCGGTCATAGGGTTGTGGACTTACTTTTCAGTGCTGAGTGGTGGGAAGCAGTGATAGGCTGCAAAAGACTTGGCCAGAGACACAGAGGACAAGGAAAGGGCACTGGAAAGACCCCCTCTGTGTTTTAAGACAGAAACAGTAGGACAAACCTCTCTAGGTGCAAGGAGTTGAATAAGAGACAGACTTGAAAATAAATGATGTGTCCACTTTCAGCTTTATCTGTAGCTTTGAATGCTGCTCAGAGTTGGCCTCAGTTTCCAGAAAGTCGAAAGTCACCCCTTGGCTTTCTGGGTGTCTGATAGCAGTGGGTCAACTGTGGCTCTTTGAGTCCTTTCCATGCTAGATAGCACTTCTGAAAATGCCGCAGGGGTCTCCAGACTTCTGTCTGCCTACATTTTCCCATTCTTCGAGCCCTCTGCAAACTCAGGAGCCTCCTAAGACATTCTGCAGTACCCATGACTGTCCCCACATGAGGCAGAGCTGTGCACCTTTCTTCTCTTGCCCTGCATGTGAGTACCTGGAGACAGGTTAGTGTTCCAGAAGACTTGTCATCTGACTGTCAGAAGTAGGAACCCAATTTGGGGGCACCAGCATCAGCACCACTCTCTTTGCCGTCCTGTCAGCAGGACATCTGTCTAAGCATCCTTAGACTTCCTGTTGGTACTGCCTGGGGGGTCCTATGGTTTGTCAAATGCAGAACCCTCCATTCAGAAGACTACACTCATGGCCCTGGTGTCTAGAGTACTTTACAGAATCAGAAGAAACCTGTCTGTGTTCTGGTCTGGGGACACTCTTGGCTTTCCTGTCTAAGGTGCCCTTCCTTAGACCCGAGCTTACAGGGGAGCTTGGCCATGGCTCAAAGGCAACTGCGGCTAAAAGGTGAAAAAAGAAAAGGCCATCTCACATGGGTTAGCTTCTCCTCATTTCTGGGAGCACTCTGGGCCTTCTTTAGAGCATCAGCTGGCCTGCTGATGGGAAGGCCTGCTTACAAGTCTGAAGGAGACCCTGAGGTCACTGTGTCCATTCCCCTGCCTTCAGGCAGGATTAGAGATAAGCTGCCCTGCCAGAGGATAATCTCTTCTACTTGTAAAAGCTTCCAGAGCAGTCCCGAATCTCTCTTGAGACCATTCATTGCAACTTTTAACAACTTTCACTATCAGGAAATTCTCCCCCATAGCTATCCTAAATCCCTTATGCTGGGGATTAAGCTCCTTTTCTTATTCTATCCTCGGTAGCCACTGCCAAGACTTAGCTTGCACTGCCTAAGAACTCTTCTGATACCTGAAGATTGCGTGAAATCCTGCCTGCCTGTCTTTCCCAGTGAATAATCCCAGCTTCTCTGCTCCTGGGCCCCAGTGCCCACCGGCTTATCGCCTTCAAGGTTGCCCTCTGACTCCCTAGGAATGTCAGTCTCCCAGGTGGAAGCCTAGGCGGGCAAGAGGTCTAGAAAGTTTCTGGCCTATTTTAGATGTACTAAGAGTCTTTCTGCAACTCTTGGCATGGAAATGCACCCAAGTGGGACTTGAGTGTTAGTGTCGGTCTTGCGCAAGGTTGGTGATCGTCTTTTGTGCTTCTTGCTCCCAGACGGTTCTCCTTTAATCCTTTGTATGTTCAGGGAAAAAGGCATCATCTCTGCCATCAATCCCGACCATGTGAGCTGCACCAGTACTGGCCACTGGTCATCCCAGGATGGAGGAGAAGGGAGAATGAGTTCTATCCTGAGTGCCTGTGGCTCTTTGGGCAACTTTCATCAAAGCAAAAGTAGTTACAGGGATGCAAGCAGGTTGGATGAAGGTGCTCACACACTCCATTGGAGAACAGCATTAGCAGCATTGCCTTCTTGGTCTGGGTGCTTGTCCTTCTTCTCCTTTCGTGTGCCTTCTCTGCCCTTCTGGCTGTGCCGTCACCTTTTCACAGGTGCCAGGGTCCTCAGTCTGGGCTCCTGCTGCCTGTACAGGACTGGTGAGTCCCTCTATCCCCATCCACTTTCCCCCTCATACTCTGCTCTAGGGTGACCCCAGCCCAGGTTAACTGCCCTTTCCTGCTTATAGCAGACCTCAGTTCCTGGCAGGCAGTCTAGGGGGATCTGCACAACTGCATGGGCCCACTCTGTGCGAGGTGGGGACAAAGAAGGTCGAGGCAGTCAACTCCCTCAAGGAGTGTAGAGCTGGGGAAGGGACTTGAAACACAGAGAATTCACCTCTTGTTCCATGATAGGGAACTGATATCAGAAGGAAGATCTGTGAAGGCCCAATGAGCTAGGTAGGTGCCAGTGCAGAGAATCCTGGCTGGGGCATCGGAAGAGGCTTCGTGGAGGACACTACGGTGGCTGTGAGCCAGGCCTTGGGCACACAGGGGGCTGGGTGGGCCCTCAGCAAAGGAGACAGGAGGCATTTGGTGGGCTCACAGTCCTCCCACACTCCAAGCACCCCAGTGCTTTCCATCTGCAGTGTCCAGAAGTGATCACTCACTTTATTATTCCATCAATAAACAACAATGAAAATCTAATGAGCATTTTCTATGGCTGAAACTGCCCTGCTCTCCAGGTTTCTAGCAATCAGTTATGGATACTGGTAGATTGCTTTTGGATTAAGATGTGTGGGGTTTTGAGTCCCTCCATCCCTGGACTGGACTGACAGGAAGTTCTTGGGTGGCTACAGGTCCTGGTCCCTGGTGGACTCTAGCTGCTTCCTCCATAGGGCTGGGCAACAGTGCCGTTTGCTGCTTGTCCTCTGTGTGGTTGGGGACACTTTTCTAGGTCTTGGGTCTCAGAGGTGACCAAGACTTGTGGAATTGTACTCTGGGGATCATCATAGGCAGAATTCTAAGGATGCCCCAAGACTCTCACCCCTGGTGTATATATGCCCTATGTACACAGTATGGCTGTGCACTGGGAATGGGATAGTCACTCTGATTAGGTTATGTTATATGGCAGAGCTGACTCTAAAGGTGACCATCCTGGGTGTGCCTGACATGATCGAATGGCCCCTTGAAAGAAAGTGAGCTCTTCCTGGTGGAAATGTTCAAAGTGTGGGAGAGATTCCATGTGAGGGAGACTCTCTTCTTCCAGTTCTGAAGTTGCAGGGGCTACATGCTCCTTTTGGAGCTCATGGAAACCTTAGCCCTAGGGCCACAAGGAACTGCATTCTGCCTGCTATAGTTTAAATGTGGATTTTAGCCTCTGAAAATGCATGTTGAAATTTAATCTCTATTATGAGGTATAAACAGTGTAGAAATTTAATACCACAATGATGTTTAGAGGTGGGAATCAGGGTGGGACCTCCATGACTGAATTCTGGTGGCTTTGTAAAGAGAGAGAGAAAGACTAGAAGAGATACATGTTCCTTGTCTCTTGCCATGTGGTACTTTGTGCCTCCTTAGGCCTCTACCAGAAAAAAAGAGCCACTACCAGCTGTGTGACCACTTCATCTTGGAGCCAAAATACATTTCTTTTCTTTATAACTCGAAAGTCTGTGTACTGTGTCATTAGTAACAAAGTGGACTGAGACACTTGCATAAGCACATGGGCACAGAAGATGACCCCAAGATCTAGATGACAGTGCAGCCACTCAGTGCCTCGATTTTAGCCCTGTCAAGACTGGAGCAGAGAATCCAGAAACTAAGTCCCCCGAATTTTGTCTTCCAGAACTATGAACTAATAAGTGGGCTTTGTTCTCACCTGCTTAGTTTGTAGCCATTTGTTTTGGAACAAGAGAAAATTAATACATGGGGGAATAGAGAGAGAATAGGAAACATGAAAAATTCAGTAGCTCTGAGAGTTATGCAGAAAAGTAAAACCCAGGGAAGTAATGGAGAATGGGCATCATGGCTATTTAGGAAGGGGTGGTCACAGAAGGCTAGGCAGGGGCACTGCGTAGGCTGAAGGATGAGAAGTCCCAGCCAAATGAAGGCGAAGGGAAAGAGTAATCCAGGCAGAAAGGGCAGCCAGGCAAAAGCTCTGAGGCTGCCACACATAAGCCTGCCGTTTTTCACATATCAAAAGCAGGTCAGCGTGGCTGTAGCCAGTCCACAGAGGGAGGGCTTTCAAGACTGAACCTGAGTTTGGATTGTATTTTCATCATAGGAGAAGTCCAGGAAGATATTAAAAAGAGAAGTGACACATCAGCACAAGTTGATTTGTTTGTAAAAGATCACTTGATCCTCTGGCTGGGGCTTGCATTGTGGCTAGGGAGAGCAAGGAATCCAGAGAGAGGGGCATTGCATTGTCTGAGTGAGCCCTGCTGGGGTCTGGGGCCACTAAGGCAGAGGAGAGGTGAAAAACGAAGACTCAGATGGGATCTTTCTGGGAGTCACTTTCTCATTGGAGAATACAACACCCAGAACACCAACAACCTGAAAGAGGAGAGGTCTACTTGGCCTCACAGATCAGACATTTTAGTCCATGTTCAGGAGCTTAAACACAGAAATGCATGGCGGAAAGTTTTGGGCAGAGTAGAGCGGCTCTCATCATGGTGGCTGGAAGCAGAGAGTCCAGGGAAGAGCTGGGAAGGGAAGGGAGGCACACCCTTCTGGGTCACCCTCGCAGTGACCCAGATCCTAACAGAAAGTCAGCTATAAGCCCCCAAAATCAAACACATTCCAAATACGTGAGGTTCGGGCGGCCATTTTAGATTTAGCCCATGATGGATGGGTTTTCTCTGTCTCCCCTTCCTTTGCTTTGTTTCACTCTTTGACTCGCTCTTCGTCTCCTTTCTCCTCACACATTTGTACCTCCCTTGTGGTCTTTTGCAGAACTCTGAGAGGCCTCCTGTGACCAGGGTGGAAGATACATCCTCCTCTCCCATCAGGGCTGAGCACATGGAATGCAGAGGTCAGCATAGCCCTACAGCAGGGAGCAGGGGCTCTCCAAGGCCCAGACCCTTTGCACTGGGACAGTTCCCGCTCTAAGACGGCAGTTCCACGGGGTGCAGCACAGCTGATGACAGCCCCTGGGCCTATGGAGCTCTGGTTTTACGCTTCAGTAATAACAACTGTACTTCAGTAGTGACCTTCCTCAGCGGGATCTGAGCACAGAAATGACGTCTTCTGTAATTGAGTCCTTCCTGGTCCACACCCCATTCTACCTGTGCTCTGCATGCTTGAGGGACTTGGTAAATGTTTGGCAATAGATAATAGCAGAATCTGTTGTCACACTAGCATTGGCAGAACTAATTCTGGCCAGAAATGACACTGTGCCACTGTGTGTTCACTCTTCATCCCTTCTTTCATTCCGTGAGTATCTCTTGAGCATCGGCCTGAGTACTACATGCTGCCTTGCAATAAATGTGTGTGTTCGCCTCCCAGATCCGTGTGTTGCAAACCCACCCTTCAGAGGGACTGTATTAAGAGGCGGGGCCTTGGGGAGGTGAGCAGGTGCCGACAGTGAAGGATGGGGCCAGAGCCCCGCGAGGAGGAAAAGAGATCTTGCTTCCTCTCTCTCTGCTCTTTAACCTGAGAGGCCCAGAGAGACGGTGCCACCTGCCAACTCGCAACACGACCCTCTCCAGAGGCTGGGGCTGCTGGCACGCTGGTCTTGGGTTCTTCAGCTCTACAATTAGGCCAAACCCCCAGTGTCTGAGCTGCCGAGTCTGTGGATCTTGCATTAGCAGCTTGAGCCAATTACGACCCCACATGGCTAACAGGCAGTTAGTGTGCCTTTTCTTTGAGGAACTTACTTTTTTAAAAGGGGGATGGATTAAAAAAAGAAGTGGGCTGGGATACATCTCAAAAAAAAAAAAAAAAGAAGTGAACCAAAGAACACAATAACAAGTTGGAGGTAAGTGCTATGAAGGACATAAACTCAGCACTTGGGCCTGGGAAGTCCCAGAAGGACTAACTCCAAGTTTTGAAGGTATAATTTAATGAATGAGCAAATGTATGAATCAATAATTTCCCTGCCCCTGAACTTGCTGTGCTTGGCTCAGTTTCTTTTCCCTGTGTTTTTCCCGGGAGGAGGACCTGAGGGCAGGAAGACACAGGTGGGGAGAGCAGCAGGCTCCCGTTTCTGTTGCGTGGTGGGCTTCAGGGTAGGAAAGAGGCCGGTTCTGGGTTCCGGGTGGGAGGATAGAGACCTCAGGGTGAAGTGGGGAGGAAGGCAGATTTAAGGAATGCTTAGGAGGTACTAGGAGGCAGAAGTGTACTGGTTAAGAAGGAGAGTTAAGGTCAAGGTCTTTTCCAGCCCTCTGATTTGGGGAAGTGGCTAGCTGGAAATGCCAACTTGCTATGAGACACTGGGGATAAAGAGCAGTGTGGGGGAACTGTGAGAATTCTAGCTTTGGACAGGTCTTGTTGAAGGCTCTTGTCCCCTGGGAAGACTGCAATGCCTGCGAAGTATCAAGAGCTGGGCTGGATGTCCAGGTGCAGTGTTATTAGCGTATAGACCCTGGAAGCCAGGAAAGCAAGCAAGCAAGCAAGCCACAAGAGAGCCAAGGAACCAACCCCAAAGACCCAAAGTTAAAGGTGGAAAACAGAGAGGATCTGGCAGAAGGAAACACTGAATATTCAGAAGAGGGTATAATTAAACAGAAGGTGACTTTGCTCGGGAGGTGGAGGGAGGGATCTGGATCACAGGTAATTCTCTTCTGGGGATGCAGTGGGGGTAGCTCTGAAGGGAGGAAGAGGAGATGCCACCTGGCGCCTTCTAGCATTTGGAGGTAGGTGATAGAAGCGTGGTGACTTTCTCCATTTCCTTTAAGAAGTGAGACTGTAGCACCACGACACACTTCGGGACAGAACCCGCAGCCTAGAGGGGCGGAGGTGTGTGAGGGGTGGGAGGTCATGGGATAGGGTGCAAGGAGACATCCATGCAGAAAGGGAGGCATGCGAGCGTGTGTGTTCGCAGTGTCTGTGTGCGCTGGGTGTTTCGTACGTGCACCGTGTGTTGTATGTGAGATGCACGCAGGTATCGCACCTGAGGTGTGTGTGAGAGGCTCAGGGGTTTGTCTTTGCTGCTGTCTGCACTTTATGTGACATTACAGGAAAGGCCACTCTCAGGAATGATGGATGGAGAAGGAAGGAGCCAGCGGAATCCCTGCTCATGGGCACCAGACCGCGGGAGCATTCCAGGCTACGCCGAGGGGTCAGCGTCGGTCATCAGAAACGCTGCTCACTCTGGAGAGGAGTGTGCTGAGACGCTCAGAGCCTTCGCCCTCAGAGTACCTTCACCCTTCCTGTCTTCCAAGGGCGCAGGGGCCGAGGCAGCGGGAGCGTCCTGAGCTGCTCTCTCTCTCTCTGAAGAATGCGGGGGGCATTGCCTCGCTAGCCAGCTTCCAAAATTGGCGCTCACCAATCTGCCTTTATGTCCCAGTCATCCCCACATTGCTTGCCTTGCCACCGGCCTCTTCTTCCTTCCCAAATCCATCCCATAAACAATGAGTGACTGCTGCAGTGGGCTCTGTTCCTAGAACCGAAGGTGCCTTTTGGCAGTTTTGAGAGCTTGTGTCTTTTTTGGCTGCCCAAGCCGAAGCTGCTCCCTTTGCGTCTCCAGTGTTGCCCCACATGGTTTCCTGTGTGGTTTTCTCAGCGTTACGACAGCCGGGCCACTCGCTTGATGGTCAAACCCGAGCATGCGCAGAACGAATCTGAGATGCCGCATCTGCGGGGAGAGGCGAACGCCAGAGGGGGAGCAACTTGAAGAGAGGGTCAGGGGCCAAGCTCTGTAGGAGACGTTACGCTGCGTGTGGGGTGAGTGTGCTGACTGAGGGCCGGAAGGAGGTTCTCGAGGGAGTGAGGGGAGGGGAAAAGAACAGGAAGGCGGTCTCAGCTGGCCGGCCCTGGGTAGGACTTGCTTCCGTGTCGGGTTCCCTTGCCTGGCTTTTCCTAGCGGAGGAGGCACTGGCTGTAATTTCCCTCCGCAGCCCTACTGGAACCTGGGTTGTCTTCTGAGAAAACCCTGCAGTTTCCGCCTGTACATGCAGCTCCTTTTTGTATCTACTGAAATCGCTCACTCACCCCTCTTTCTTTGATTCATTCAGCAAGACGCATAGTTCTTCCGCTCACCCACATATTTCTGGCTGTTTTAGGACAGGTTTTCTCTCATTTCTGAACTGGTCACTCTGAGCCAAAGGACGTTGTATTTTCAGCAGTACCAAGAAGCCTCTCTCTTTTGTCTTTGACTCTCTGCTGGCCTCGGCTCACCAGGGTATGATTTGCTCTCCACTTAAGTAAGTGCGGGTCTCAGCGGGGTAGAGCACGGAGAAAACACGGAGAGGGACGTGGTGAGGAAGGGAGGGCCAAGGGCCCTCGCAGGCTGCCCAAGCCCTCTAGCATCTGGGCCTGGACCACCTTGGATGGGAAACGAAGAATAGATAAGCTTTGGGGATGGCTCTCACCTGTCTGGTGTGGATGATGGCAAATCCATTTCTGGATTGGGCCATCAAAGCCCGAGGCCGCCCAGAGCTCATTACTACCCAACTTCCCGCTCAGCTTTCTGTCTCCCTGGACGCGGACTGGCTATTCTCAGGATTTGAACACTGCTTGTTTTGTGGGTGAGGCTTGTGAATTCACTGCTTCATTTTGTATGATGCCAAAGAGAGGGCGTTGTGTTGTCACTTGCCTCCCAGCATGGCCCTGGAATCCCCATGTGTAAAGTGGAAACATCTGCTTCCTCAGTCTCTAAGGTGTTTTCCATGGCTGAGAGACTCTATTTCAACAATTCCTGATGAAAACGATAAAGGACAATGAATCTAGGCCTAAGGGGACATATCTACTGGCAGGTCAGGAAGTTCTGTGCGTTCGATGTTTATCCAAGACTTGGACGGAGGCTGGCGGCATGCTGCCCTGGCTTGGGAGAGGCGACGCAAGGTGGAGGGGAATTGCAGCTCTGTCAGTCAAGACTGACTGTACTTGAAAGGCTGGAAAATGGTCCAAAACCCAGAAGACAAAATGCTGTATTTTTAGTGAAATAGTCAGAATTGCACAAATACAGACCAAGTAATCCTGGCCTATAAGCATTTTAGGTGAGAAGACTTAGGCGTTTCAGTTCAGGATGCACTGTGTTTATTTATAAGTTCTGTACATATGGATGGAGTCCCAGGCACTGATCCAAAAGCAAGGCACACAGCATGAGCAGTATGACATCACCTGCATGCAGCTTACAGCCTCGTGTTGTGGTGAGATGCAGTTCACAGCCCATGAGGTGCAGCCCAGAAGCATGGGTTAGGCGATGCGAGACACCTGTAAGTGAGCAATGAGAGGAGAGGGCGGAGAGAAGGACGGGCGAGGAGCTGATGGGACTTCATGCTTAGATGTCTGTCCCATTAGCTGTTAGACCCGACTGCTTTGTGAGTGCTGAAGCCCAGGATCCCATGAAAAGTTAGTGACATCTGGTCAAGTGGGCTGTGTGGAGGCCCCCACCTGCCTGAGGACACGAACCTGCTCCAGCTGCAGGCTCAGCCCTGCAACCTGGCCCCGGCCTTTCTTGAAATCGCAACCCGGCCAGTCTGACCTTCGCCTCATTTCAGTGACTCTGCATCTCTGTCTCGCATGAGCCATCACCCGGGTGGGAGCCCCGTCTCCGACCATGTCCCACCATCTGTGTTAATGCTCCAGACTCTGGGGCCAGCTGGATTTCCTCTGCCCCAGTGTGCCACCCGCTCGTGTACCCCACCGGGCCTGCCTGGTAGTGGAGCTGTGCCCAACTTGTCCCCTCCCATCCCTTCTTCGTTTCAAAGTCCTCTGCTGGCGCTGGCTGGCAGATGAGACTCGAGGGGGGATACTTTCTGTATTACTGATGCTCATCTTCCTAAGTGCGCACAGTGTGTAGGAGAAATGATCATTTTCCTAGGGGGGAAAAGTTTTCTCCCAAACTTCTTGCAACTTTATTAATAATGTAGCAAATGAGATGACATATTCTGAGGACTTAGTCAATCCCAGGGAGGTGTCTTGGCCGTACGCACACCACATCGTTCCTCCTGCTGACTCTGTCTCTCTCTCAGGCGGGCAGCTGCAGCACTGAAGAGCAGAGGGCAGGGGAATTATGCATGAGCAGAGAGAGGAGACGCTGACCTTCTGTGTTTAAAGGTTAAAACGATTTCTTGGGAAATGGAGCAAACTCACTAATCACAGGCTGTTCTGAATTTTTCTGCAAAATTAGACCCTGTGGCTCTCCTCACATGTTCTGTCTGTGAGGGTATCTGTATACGGCATATATATTAAGAAATGAAGTCACATTCAATTTCAGTTTACTGTAAACCTACTATGTTCCAAGTCCTAGCATGAGTTAGACTGAAGGGAGACCGAAGAAGCAAGTCAGTGCTTTAGGTCACTGACAACTCCGAAAACCAGAACATGCAGTAAGCCAGCACCCAGATTCATGTGGCTTAAAAGAAAGAAGATAGTTATTCTTCTTATTCTTGGGGTTTAGCAAAAGGAAAATATGATCACAGGACACCATAGTCTGCTCACCGACCACAGGCACTGTGCTGGTAGCCAAGCAGAGGTCAGGATGAAGGTTATAGATACCATGAGATCTTAGCCATTAGGCCGATCTGAAGCAAGTCAGCAAGAGGTGGCTTGGGACCCGGAAGTGAGCATCAGTCGTCCACTCGCCCAGGTGACATGCATTGTGGGTGGTCTCTGTGTCCAGCAGTGCAGTGGGCATTTGGAGAGCGACCCAAGGGAGAGGCTGCCTCTGCCTTACATATATATGCCCAATAAAGACAGAAACATTTTCTGTCTTTTTCTCTGTTCTATTCCTAGAACCTTGGTCTAGGATTGGTCTAGTGTCTGGGATTTAGCAGGAACTTCATCACATTTGATGAAGGGATGAATGAGCTACGGCAAAAAGGAGGGAGGGAGATGTGGATGTGAATGTCACGCTTGCCTTGCAGTTCTTGAATTGTGTGTGTGTGTGCGCGCGTGTGTGTGTTTTAGGGCACTGACTATGGGGGCATAAAAGAAAGCCTGGTTTCTCTGCTGAGTGGAAATAAAATGTGAGAAAATACTTCAGAGGTTTATCAGAAAACTTAAAACTGAAATTACCTCTGCTAGACTAAGCAGAAAAACTGATTGAAGGACAGGGAGCTCGTAGAATTTTTAGGAGTGCAGGAATTCTAGACTTGATGCTAACTGCTCTGTTCACATCAGAGTGGATTCTGGGCTCGGCATCCACTTCATGTTTCCAACCTCAGATTTAGGATCACCTCTGACTGGAGGTAACCTGCACCCTAGCTTCAAGGGAGGCTGAGAAAGTGAGCACCTGGCTTGGAATTTCTTCCCCAAAACTTGGAGTTGAGGAATTTGCGAAACACAAAGGGTGGCCACAGTTGTTACATGGTCAAGAAGAAACATACATGATTGTTACAATGAAGTAAATCATCTGAGATTGCAGGGGCTAAAGTTGGAAATGTGCCAGGGCCCTTTTATGTAAAGCTTTGCGTACCTTTTCGGAAAGTTTGGGTTCTTACACATAAACAGTGGGAAGCCACCGATGGGTTCTGGACAGGGTAGTAATGTAGTCAGATTTGCATTTCAGAATGATGACCCTGAAGGTAAAGTGGGGAGTATGGATGTGAAGGACTAGGTTAGGAGGCAGGATGCCTAGTAGCTGAGGAAGTGGGGATCATAAGGCAGATGAGGAGGGCCTTAAATGGGGACTGGACGTGGAAATGAAGCAGCTGGTGAGGAGGATGGATATTAAAGAGAAGGAATCAGCTGGACTTGTGATGGTGAAGGAGAAGCTGTTGAGACTTATGCCTAAGATTTGACCTGGGTCACCGGGGTGGTAATGGTTGTAGTTCATAGAAATAGTGAGACAAGGGTCCAGGAAGGAGAGGGAGACTGCAGATACAGGAGACAGAGAACAAGTGGCAGGGAGTGTTGGTGGAGGAGAAGGAGCCTTGGCCAGAGCAAGGGATTCAGTCTTGAGAGGGGAAAGATTTATCTTTTCTCAGAGACTGGAGGGGAGGAGATGATGTGTCTGTGTTTACATAGATGCATTCTTAGGTATGGATTTGAAAAGGTGGGGAGTTTATGACACACAGTTTTTAAGTTCCCTTGACCCTTGACACTGGACCCTTGACACTTGACCCCCTTTCCTCCACCCTCTGGATGGGCACTTCCTTTTCCCTCTTTGTCTAGCTCAGGGATCACCAGAGTTTTTTTGTTCAAGGGCCAGATGGTAAATATTTTTGGCTTGTTGTCTGTGAGATCTCTTTCTGGAATACTCAGCTCTGCTGTTCTAGGGTGAGAGCAGCCATAGACAAACTGTAAATGAAGGGTGAAGCCATGTTCCACTGACCTTTATTTATGAAAACCCAACAGGCCACTGTGTGTCGACCCCGGACCTGGTGGTTCTGAATCATCCTGACCCTCTGGGACCTGCTGCTATTGCACTTTGGACTTTTCCATTAGAGTGCTCATCTCTACTCTAATTAATTTATTTGTCTAATTATGTGTTTGTATGGACTCCCATGCAAATGTGAAGGCAGAGGCCATGTACACTTCATCGGCTGGATACTTTCAGTGAGCACAGGTAAGAGCAGGCAGGTGCCTTCAGCTCACTGTGAGCCACACACTAGTCTAAGCTCCTTTCATTTACCAGTTCATTCAGACTGCTCAGCTGCCCCAGTAGCTAGACACTGCTCTTGTGCCCCTTCTACAGATAAAGATGGAGAGACTCGGGGAGGCTGAGAGAGCCAACAACTTAGTTGGAGGTGAGATTTGGATTTAGTCTGGCCCTACCG